GACCATCCAATTCCAAATATCCTAGTTTGGTTAGACAAATGATGAATCCATGGCTTGCTTAGTCCTTTCTCTTTTGTTTATCACATAGACTCTAAAAAGTCGCCAAATAGCATAATTGTGAAATGAACCATCCTTTATCCTATTTTTGGTTCGACAAATTACTTCTTTCTCCTTTATCAATCACATGCCTTGAATCTATGGCTTCAATGAATATGATCTGAGTGTTGTGCTTTCCCTTTAACTTGCTATATATATATATATATATATTGAAAGGTTAAAGTATCTAAATCACAACATGTCTATTAAACGGTTTTAAAAACTTAATATTTTCTATAAAGTGGAGGGACTCTACCAACCGAACTAATATACCAAACTCACGACATATCTCTTGATCGATTCGAGCGCTCAACTTTTCTCAAATCCAAAGATCAAATAGAGGTGATATAAGTGGTTAGTTGGTCAATATTTAAGATTTCACCCAGCAATAAAAATATAGCATTGCCTCAGCTTTTTGTCATTATTATAATTTGATTACATATTGTATGGAAACTTAATAGTAGTCAGACATTTAAAATTTGAATTTGATTTTCAGCATTTATTAATAAATAAATAAAAACAGCCTACTTTTGGCCATTACTACAATTTTATCCCATATTGCATTGAAACTAAATAGTTGTCGGACATTTAAATGTTGAATTTAATTTTCAGCATTTGTAATTAAAAAAAAGAAAAATAAAAAACAGCCTTCTTTTCTCATAGATTTTTTTTTTTTTTTTTGAATTTTCTTTTCTTAGTTTCATTAACATCAAAATTACAGTTTTTTCTATTATGTTTTATCAATAGCATCTTTGACTATCCTGTTTTAATATTAAGAGACCAAAAGATGTAGTTTATTGTCTTTTAAAATAGATGGTCGAGAGTGTAAGTTCTCATATATACAAGTGAGTGTGTAAGAGTATTTCTTATCAAAATAAATAATAATAATAATAATAATAAAATTTATAATAATAGTATTATTTGATACCACCCAAGTCCATGTTACACTTATCGATTAGAATGTGAGGGTATATTTTGGTTACATGCGAAATGAAAGTAAAAGAAAGCCAAGGAAAAGAAAGAAAAATAAAACTAATCTAAAATTCATTTGATTAGACTAGTGAGTAATAAAAAATTACTTTTCCAAGGTTTGGAATGCATGAAAATTGCGAGAATTGAAAGGCATTGCTATAAATTCGTACTTGCGGATGAAAAGTAAAATATTGCTGTATATTTTTGAAGGAAACTTTTCGAACCATTCAAACTCCAAAAGTATTTTTAAAAAATTATTTCACTCAGTTGAAGTTGGAAAGAAACTCAAATCCAAAGAATTACTAATAATACTTAATAGGTGTAAAGCATCATATTCTCTCGTTGCGGTTGAATCATCTTACTTATTTAGATCATGGTTCGTCATATCGGTCGATACGTTATTATTTTTCAAGACTCTCATACTGGTCGATTTGGTCAGTCAACACTGATTTTGTTCGAATTTGTTATACTGCAACCACAATCAATACTGCGTACCATGATTTAAATATATTTTAAGCATGGTTCGCCATATCACGTTCGTAATCTTTTTTCAAAGGTTCGATTCAATTATACACCTCCATAAATTATTTGGGTTGATCAATTTATACCAACAATCATTCGTACCGCAATCAATACCGTAACCATAAACCATATTTTTAAATAAGTACCGGACGTAACATCAGACGAAGGAATAAGCTACCTCTTAACAGTCTCAATGATGTGCTTCCACCGATTTTCGTCCTATACTCCTATAAAAGACCAATCCAAGTGCATGGAGTGTTTAATTAGGACAAAGGGTACACCAAGTAAATCACTACAACGACCCACTAAATTTTACCATAATTTATGGAAGGAGTCCATGGGAGGATCCGAATAATATATGGTACCAAAGACTTTAGGGTTAGATCTTTTGATTAAAAATAGTGGTCCATCAATAATATTGTGGTTACGTCACAACCCACATGTCCAACATATGCTATGTCTGATAATACTGAACCTGCCGTGTGGAACAATGGCATTCTACTAGTAAAATGGGTGTCTCACTATTATCATCAGCTGTAATCATGACCATCAAAGAATTACTCCTTTGTTATCTTTCTTTCTTTTCTTTTATTAATTTTCAACTTCACAATAAATATATTTTTATTTTATTTAATCATTTGAAAGGTACAAAGATCAAGTCAAAGTGACAATACAAAAGCATAAGCCAAGTCAAACATACAAATCATGAAGCAAAACAAGAAAAATTAAAAAAGATTGTAGATTTGTTAAGAAAGAACTACCGCTCTAGAACAGAAAACACCAAAAGAAAAGATAAACAACGGAAGTGATCAAAATTCAGATCATCATCAGGGCAACAGTTCTAAAACTGCATCCACAAGACGCCTCCACACACCCAATTCTGCACAAAATCAAATCAAGTCGGGAAAAACAAAAATCGACCTAGATCAGAGATCTAGTCAAAGGAAAAACAACAAATCCACCATGTCAAGCCGAAAACAAACCAAACAAAATCAAATCTAGTCACACAAAAACAAAAAACGACGTGAAAACTCCATGGAAAGGAGCAGGGAACAAAACGGGATGGGAACTAGCAGCTGAGAAAGAGAGAAAAAGGGTAGAGAGAGAACTGAGGAGAAGTAGAGGCGGCCTTATCTCTTACATACACACTTATGCTCAGTTAGACTTCAAAATTCGATCATCTATATATATATATTTTTTTAAAAAAAAAAAAAAAGAAGGAAAAATAATGCTGATAAATTTCGAACACTGGCCATAATTAAAAGTCATGTTGTATGCTGAAATCATTACTCTTCCACATTTGTAATCTCATCTAACTATGGTCCTCGTTTCAAACTCACCCACATCTCACCCTTCTACAAATTTTGGTGGAAACTACCTAATTTTGAACGAAATTGGGATGCAAGTGTTTAAAACAAACTTATACCAACTCGTGTAAAACACTTATTTCTTTTAAATAATAAGTTGGGATAATCATACAGACATGAATTTTTTAAGAATTCCTACACAAGATGACATATAACCTTACCTAGTTTAACGAATGATAATAGGCAGTGGTGAGAAATTTAGATCCTCTCCAAATATTTCCAAGACCTCATCCAACGATCAAAAATGTGTCACGTTATTATATGTCAAAGTATCGAAAATGATCCATTCCCGAAGAGGTCGAAAATTTCCAAAGCATATTTATACAAGCACACTTGAAATTAGGGTTTTATAGCGAGTTTGATCCAGGATCTGATCAATTCAGAGTACATTTTAACGAGTCTGATATAATTTGAATCCAAATTTATAAGTACAAACGAATCTTGAATCTTACAAAAATAAATGGTGTAGAGTATGAACACGAAAGATAAGCACCATTTTATCTATTACATAAAAGTTGAACCCTCTGAAAAAATAAAATTAAAAATTAAACGGGTCGGATCGGTCTATTTTGTAGGGATAATATTGGACAACCAAAAGCAATCCTCAATAATTTAAATGGAAGAGTAAATGTATTAAGACAACAATGATAGAATCACAATAATCATGGTGTTCAAACATATCGTACGAACCCCACATATCCAGCTAATTACCCACTGTCTGAATTTATGAAAGGACCGACGACCCACACTCCATGGTTAATATGGTAGTTGGGCCACAGGCTCATCAGACACACAACACAACTTGTATATATACATATATATATATATATATATATGTAACCCTGCAACAAAAACAAAGATCACTGACTTCACCAAATCACCAAACACCAGAACACAGCACGCAGGAGAGAGAGGTGGTGTGACGGACAAGACACCCAATCCTTTCGTCATGGTCCAATCATAATCAACACACCTTCCCTTTTAAGGAAAGTTAAATCATCGAAATTAGGAACACAAATCCAAGAGGTTACACCATCTATTAGTACCACTTACCTGTTCAATTAAATACTATTATAACAAACAACATTCGACTAATGGATAAGGTAATCAATCATCAACACTAGCAAAAGACCAACCCTAGAGGTTAGACTATCTATTAGTTTACCAATTCAATATTATATATATATAATTATACTAATGGATATGGTTTATTCCAAATCACAACCACCGAACCTCATTCACAAGTTATCCACAACACATTTATATTATAATGCTTACTATTAACTACATAACACACCCTAAAAACACATCCCTAACCCTACGTGTATCTAATCCTACTCAAATTCTGTAATGACCGGAATTTCGTGGTCTTTGAGCAATTAATAAACTCCTTGTATATATACATATATATATATATATGAGTACCTAATTTGGAGAAAGTGAAGAACATTCAAAAGAGTGCCTAATGTAGATTAATGGCAACTGAAAAAGCAAAGAATTTCTAAAACTATAGTTATGTAACAAAAAAAAAGCCACCTACATTGTTCTTATCCATTTGTAATAGAAATCAGATAAAGTGAAAGAGTACTGAAGTGACAAAAGGCCAAAAAAAAAAAAATGATACCTACATTAACTTCTAAATTAATATCAAACATTAGGAATATAAATAATAGCAACATTAATCAATTTCTGTATCTTCCCTACAGGAAAAAGAACTAATAAAGATGGCATTAAAATAATATATGTATATATCTAACATCCCACACTCATACTATACACCACTTTTTGCTGCTTCATCTCAGACAATATTATTCTCTCTCTGAAACAAAATTGAGAAATTAGAAAAAGCAAAGAGAGTGATTACTTTACCATATTGCAAGCAGAGAACTGAATAAAATAGCATTAACAATCCATGATCCCCACTAACCCATCAACATTAATCCCCAAAACTGATGAAAAGTGAAGCATCATACCAAATGATCATCAATTAATTAACAATACCATCAAAATTAAAAAATTAAAATAACCCAATAAAAAAAAATGTAAGAGAAGAAGCAAGAAGATTAGTAAATTGAAGCACTGAAACAACAAGAAATGTTGAACAATCTCTCTCCACTGTTATGCTCAACAAAGTGAAAATTAAAACTACCCATTAATAAAACTACTAACAAATAGGTAAATTTAACTAATATATAGTACCAGCTTTTTTCCCCTCACTATCTACTAGTAGTAGTACTTATTTTTCATCATCAAAGATCAAGAAGAAGAAGATGACCCATTAGTGGCAACAACATTAGGAGGAAGAACAACACTGTCATTGTTGTTGTTGTGGTGGTGGTGGTGGCTTAAGTTTTCCCCATTGTTGGTGGTGGTGGCGGCGGTGGTGATGGTGGGGGTGGTGTGGTCAGTGTTTTGGTGGTTGGTGTGGTAGTGAGTGGTGGTGTTCTCATTCTGATCAGCACCGTTTGTAATATTAGCAATACCGTTGAAGCTGTTGCTCCCATCTCTTTTCCCGATAGTGTTCTTGTTGTTGTGCATCCAAACCTTCAACACGCTTCTGTCAACTCCGATTTCACTGCAGAACTCTGCGATCAAGTCTTCGTCCCTCTTCTGAATCTTCCACCCGACTTTCTCAGCGAATTGGTGCATTTTCTCCTTCTGATCTTGTGTGAATTTTGTCCGGAACCTTTTCCGGCTGTTGGGTGTGACTGCAATGGGAGTTGTCGCCGCCGCGGTGGTGTTTTCGGCCGGGTGGCTGGAGAGGCCGGCTGAGAGGGCGAGGAGCATGTGGGGTGCGGAGGGGTAGTACGAGGAGGAGATCGGAGGTGGAGATGGGGAATCGGGGCTGCTGTGGCCACCTCCGCCGCGTGGGGGCGGAGGCGGTGGTGGGTGGTGGCGGTGATGCGACTGGTACTCGATAACATGCTGGGGTGTTGCCACCGAATGGGGAAGTGGGTCTTCGGGTTCACGGCGGTGAAAGTTGCGGTGGCAGCCGCAAGCGGCGCATTTTAGTGAGGTGGGGTCGGTGGGGGAGGCGGTGGGGGAAGGCATGAACTCGCCGCATCCGTCGAGAGCGTGTCCACCGAGGCTGGCCGCGTGGTTCTTCAGACATTCTTTGTAAGTGACAACCACCGGAGGAGAGTTGAGCTGGTGGTGGTGGAGGGGGTGGTGGCGCTTGAGTACGCCGTTAGTGAACGATAAGGGCTTGATGGGTTGGATCCGTGTGGGTGTCTCGGTTTCAGCTTCTGGGGTTTTGACGCCGCCGGTTGTGACTGGGCCAGTGGAGGCGGCGGTGTGGACGGTGGTGGGGGTTATGATGTCCATGGTTGAAGCATAAACAGTGAAGCGGTCTTTAAGAGTTGATTAGATTTAGAGTTAGGGTTGTGCGCAAAACAAGGATATCTATATCCATGGATTAGAGAAATGAAAGATGGGTAGGAAGTTTTAGAGAGAGAAAGAGATAGGAGAGAGATTGGAATAGAGAGAAGATGGTTGTTTTTTTTTCTTTTTTTTTTTTTTTTTGGTGGTGATGATGATGATGAGAAGTGATGACTGAAGATGATAAAAATCTGGGTTTTGTGGTTGTCCTTCTTAACCACTTGCATTTTTAACCCTGGTTCTAATCTCTGGTTAACTTGTTGGACCCCACTCGAGGTTTAAATGTTGTGTGTAATAAATAAGCTTATTTACACTGCCTTTTGTAAGTCTACGGTTTGACTCAGCAGATTTGAAGTCTGTGTCTTTTTGTTAATCCATATGGTTTGACTCGGCTGAATCACTGTGTTGTGTCGTGTGTTGCTTGTTTTTGTCAGGAATTTGCTGTAGTATCACCATTGTTTTGACTCACTAGTTTAATGTATTTTTTATCTTTATATATGTATATATATTTATCTCAATAATAGTAGTTTTGAATCTATTAGACCTGTTTAGCATTTGTTTTGTTTTTGTTATTTTTAAATTGTTACAGTATTAATTTTGATAACAAAAACATATTTGGTAAATTCTTATTTTATTTTACACCGTGCTAAAATATTTCGTGAAAAAGTAATCCAAAATCAAAATACCAAAAAATTATTTTTTTTTATTTTAATAATTGTTCATAACCCAAAATCATAACTATTCATATTTTTGTTTTCGTCATTTCCACAACAAAATATCGTTCCTAAACGTGTTTTCAATTTTTTTTCAAAACACTCCTACACTATTTTTATTTTAACCAAAAACAAAACGCCTAACAAAGCGCATGCTAAACGAGAATAAAATTTTCTCTAATTCCATCAATGTTAATTCTAAGGCTCCAATTCCACTCAACGGAACATTACCACAACTCTTTAGTCCTACATATGTCAAGCAATTTTCTATTTTTTTTTTTTCCAAGAATGACCAAATACTCACATGTGTCCATGTGCACTAATAAGTTTAGTGAACCCACACCACCTTAGTGTGAAAAGGAAAAGTGATAGGCATTTTAGAGATAAAATTCAGGAATAAAACTGTGCTTTCAAAATATAATAATTTGAACTTAATTTGGATTATTTGCACAATTTGATGCAGATTGAATTTTGAGTTCATGAAACATATTATTTCTGAAAATTTTATTATATATCTTAGATGAATTTATTTTGTTACTTCGCTGTTTCAAAATTATTATTTAAAAGGATTAAGTGCATCTTCACTAAATTATTATGAGTCAAAAATTCTGTCTTGGGCGGTTTAAGGTCAATTTGCTAAATAGACAAATTCATAGGTGATATTCCCATTCAACACCTTTATTTAATCAACAAATATTAAATTAAACATTAAATCAGTCATGACTCATGACCTCACAACTTAACAAGATATAAAGTACACTTCAACTATAGTGACTACTTAAGCCGAGTCTAGGGGTATGTTCCTTGACCTTGTGAGTTTCTTTTGTTCTTTTGTACAATTTTATTCTTTTTATTCGCAATCTATTTAACTAAAAAATAAAATAAATTGTTTTCCCCTATTTTTTTTAATTTTTTATTTCTTGAAAAAAAAAAAAATTACACTCATATCCACAAATATCTGCTGCAAGACTTAATTCCCTCACACCTCTGCTTTAATAGAGAAGTTATAATAGTTAGGCTAATGATTCAGTTGTGTCTCATCACTTAGGGCTTGTTTGCAAGTGTTTTTTATTTTACGTTTTTGTTTTTATTAGAAAAAAGAAATACGTAACATTTTATCTGTGAGGTGTGTTCAATAGTGATTGGAAGTATGTTTGTTATGTAAAATTTTGTTGTAAAATTTTTGAAAACAAAAATATAAAAAACATGTTTGGAAAAAAGAAAAAGTATTGCCGGATTCAAAAACAAAATGGCCAATTAAAAAAGGTCATTTAGAGTCTTCTTTTTTTTCTTTTTTTTTTTTGGTATTTTGCTATAGTGCGAAAATGTTATAAAAACACTAATTTGGTGTTTGTAATTTGTGCTTGTTTTTGACAACAAACGTACTACTATTCAAATTGCAACAAAATTTACTAAATGTATTTTGATATTTTGTTTTGCTATAGTAATAGTATACTTAATAATGCAGATGTCTCGATAGTCCAGTGAGTTAATAGTGAATTCGGTAGATTTTGTAGTGCCAGACTTTGACTCTAACCTAATAATCTAACTTTTAACCCTTCTTACCTTATTAAAAATATATATATACTATCACTAAAAAAAAAAAAAAAAAGGCAATGCCAAACAAGTCCTCAATTATTACCTTAGTAAAATTATGTGGTAAGTGGGGGTAATTCTCGAACTCGGTCCGCACTGAGTTGAATGGGATAAAATTCTGATTTTGAATCAGTGAAGTTAACTTGTTTGGAATTTTTACGAAAACAGGACCTGCAGTACTGAGACGTATACTGCAAGTCTGTAGCCCACCTTAATTTGTGAAAGCTACCAGAATGGGACTGGACGCTTTAAACCCATTCACTATTGATTTGGGCACCCCCCAATTCATTTCTACTTTTGATACATGTACCACTTGATTTAAAAAAGTTTACATTGCCCCTCTCAATTTTTGGTGCTCAGAAAGTACAATCATACCCTTCCTTGTTTTAGTGTCCGATGCATAGATGCCATACATGCATGCGATGTGGTGCATGTATAGGGTAAAAATACAACTTTACTGATGGTAAAACTGTCTTTTTACGAAAGTGTATTGTTTGTCAGAATAACATGCCACCCAGGCATTTCATTATTCAATTAATTAATTACTAGTATAAAAAATATTTTTTTTCCTGGAGGTGTAACATATGAGAAAGCATATAACATTAGTTTAAAAAAAAAAAAAAACAAATCATTCAAACATTTATTAGCACTTTAATAAAAAAGCTCAAAACTGTATTTATGGTTCTTTTAAAAAAAAAAATTCCAACAAAAAGACACCCACAAATTTATAATATCATAACTCGAATACCTTATATTTCCTTTATTTTTCAAAAATCATACTATATCAAGCTGAATATTAATAAGATTAAAATTAATTTTAAATTGGTAGACAATATATATATTTTTGTTATTTGTTAACATTTTATTGAAATTATATATATATATATATGTTACTGTTATTTTAGGCCTTAAAAATGTAGATTTGCTCTTTTATCCCCTAAATTTCAAGAGTTTATATCCAAAAATGATTGGGGAAAAAAAAGTAAAAAAAAAAAAAAAAAGAATTTAGGGGTGTTCTTTTCATCCACTCGGACAGAATCTTCTGAGTCGTTCAATTAGTGACTATTCGAATCTGACGGTTCTAAAGAGAAAGGAAGCATCTTTGCCTTGGAGTCGGTGCACTATTCAGATTTTACTTTTTAGACATGCAATACGACGCCGTAACAGTTGGCCCAAAATAGAATGCACCCCACAAACATCGGCAAATTGGAGTTTAGTGCATGAATCACGAGTACTTAAGTCATTAATAACCATAATTTAATCTTCACCGCGATGGTTGGTCTGGTGACACGTGTACACTACTAGTGACACGTGGCACGTACTTTTGCTTTCTTTGGTTGACACGTATCACCTTCACACGTACCTGGTTGAGAATTTATATTATTAAAGTCAAAATTGATTACTAGTACTTTAAGTTTCTTTTTTGGTAAAACATGAGAGGGGAGAGAACAAATTAGGGGTCACGGGGTGGAAATTTGGATATGCTACTTTGCGGCCTACACTATTGCGTTACTGTTTCCTGAACCGAAACCGTTCAGTGCACTGACTACGGTGCTGATTATTTTATTACTGTATGACCCTCTCTCTCTGTTTTCATTAAAAATATTGATTTAAAGAATTGGGAATCGTACGTCAGAGATTTGATTGCACCAGAAGTCCAATCATGGGGCTCCTAAGGTTTAATCATCGATGTTTGCGTGCCACATGCAATGTTGTGGCATTGTGCAACAACATTTTTCAAAGCTTGTAACACAATTATTTTTAGGTAGAACACATTCAATGATACAATAATCTGCCAATTTTAATTTCGTTTTGTTATATATATATACATATATAACAATGGTGTTATCGAACTTTTCATATTACTTCATAATTTATCACTGTAGATATGATTGTCGCATACCTTTAATAATTATTAAAAAAATTATTTGAAATGAGTTACTATAAATTCCCAATCCCCAAAATTTGAGTGACACCCAAATAATTCGAACTCTCTTAACATCCAAAAATGTGAGGTAAGGTAAGAGTACTATTGAGTTATTCTTTTAAAATTATGCAACTTTCATTTATTGCATTGCATCCCCAAAATAATTATACATACTGGAGTGTGCATATTGTGTAATATATTTAAACTATGATATCAAAAGGTATATACCATATTCCATTGGTTTTTATGATATTACGAGACAAAGACATTATATTATGATTTTTTTTTTTTTTTTTTTGTTTCTTTTGACAAATAACTTAAAAAGTATTTTTTTTCATCTTTAAAATAGGGGTAATAACCATTTGTTTTTATAAACATATGATCATATAGCAATTTTTTTTTACCTACATATGACAATATTGACTAGTTGAGATTTTGCTCTTAAATAAGAATATCGAAACAAAATTCATGTCACCGATCTCAAACAACCAAGAGTAATGAGTTGTGTACGTGAGCAGAAATATCTTACTTAAAATAATCGTTTCCTCCACCCTCCAAAACTTATTTCATTTCAATCTCATAAAATGATTTGATTTTCAAGAGAAAAGGAGAAGATTGGCAAAAAAGGAACAAAAAATGATGTGAAAAAAAGAAGAAGGAATTACACTGACTTTTTCCGTGGTTCAGGCAATTATACACAGTAAATCATACAACATTTATTACTTTTAAAATCTCTAAATTTGTTTGGGACAATTGAAAAGTGACTTTGAATGTGAAAAATCATTATTATTTATTCTTATATTATATTTCATTTTATAAAATTTGATCGACATATGTATCACAAAGAAAGCGATAAGGGATTCCTTAAACACATGCACCAAATCTCAAAAAAAATAAAAATAATAAATATTTAACGGTACATACTTGTGCAG